ATCATAAAAAACAAAGTTAACTGCCGTAACCATTTATAATGCTGGATATTCCTCTAATCACACTAGGGCAGATGCCGTTTTAGGCTCCCCGCTATGTAAACCTCTCTAGCAGGTATTTGACACAGACAAATCTGGCTAAGTCTGAATAAAGTCTGTATAAATCATATCACTACTCTAGCTATTTAATGCAGATCAATATCCGCTGACACTCATTAAAGTCCACAGATTAAGAAACTGTATGAAATCTTAGTTATAGTTCACAAGTCAAAGAACTTTCATAATTACACATGTAAAGCATTTTTATTAATTGGAAAAAAAAAATTTCATTAGGGCTAACCATTTTCATTCTGTTAACATAACACAGTCATAAACCTTGTTTGTTTTAAAACTAAGGTACATGCATTCTAATTAGGGCTGGGCAATAATATCGATATTTCAATATATTGCAATACAATGACAAAAAATATCGTATCGCAATACGATTTTGTAATATCGATATATTGGCAATATGCTTAGATTAAGGAATTTTGTCATTAAATATAAAAATGGACTTATGAAAGTTTGTTATTAAGCCAAACAGTAAGTCAGAAGTTGTTTTGTGGGAACATTTCAGAGCATAATTTAAATGAAATCAACAAGATTTTTTTCCATGTTGGTTATTTATCACAGTTATGTACATTCTGCATGTAAATTAAAGTAAATATAGTAAGAAAATGCCATTTTTATTACCTTGAAAATATTGCAATACATATCGCAATACAGTTAAAAATATCGCAATATATCGTAATACGAAATCTCGGGCCAATACCCAGCCCTAATTCTAATTATAACCAGTATATTTAATTAGTCATATGGATAAACACCTGATTTTAAACCTACATTCAGTAATACAATTTGATTTTTTTTTTTACTTTAAATTTAATGCACCAGTTGTTTATTGTGCATGTACTAATGACACTTCCTGGGCAAACCCCTAATCTGTTTACTTCATTTTTGTATTTCCTGGGTTACCTTTGAAATCACATGGAGATTTATAACTTATGTGAATTAAACATTGGATTATATTAAAAGATAATTCCTTGTGATATGGACATGAACGTCATGAAGATGTCCCCTGAATTAATATCTTGTTCATAAGCATTTCAATTACTTCCTTAGTTTAATTTAAGACACTGAAAAATGTGTCAAGGTAGCTACACCAATCGTAATGGCTATTAATAATAACATCCCTATCTACAGTAACATCACAGTGTTATAGTATTAATAATAACATCCGTAATCTACAATAACATCATAGTATTATACAACTAATATGTTAATTTACTTAGTAGATTGGACATGTACATTCATTTAAAGTAGTAGCACAGGAAATGTATGCTTACAAAAATGCCGTTCAAATAAAAAAAAAGAAAATTTTTTGTATGTATATATATGGTTTCTGCTATTTGATTTTCAAGTGCTCATTTGTACCTTTCTCATGTTATAGTGTGTCCCTTATTTTTATACAAATTAGAAACGACTTATTGTTGGCCAGGCATATCTGTAAGTTAGTAGAGAAATTAGTTTCCCTCCAAATGAAAGTTCTAGTAGTGCATATCCCTATAGCTGCAATATTTAAAATGCCAATATGGTGTGGTTCGATTTTCATTTGGGATGGATTTTCCTCAACCAAAAAATTTTTTCAATCACTCTGAGAATGTATTGAGTTACATTCAGCAATGAAACAAGTGAGATAGAGTGATAGTTTTATCCCTAGATGCATCACCCAGGTAAATTGTTGTCAGCTGGGAAATATACCTATAAATTTAAAAAAAGAGTATTTAACTTTTCTCTAGAACATTTTGTGTTCAAATAAAAAATGTATATCATCTTGAACATCTGAAGCAAGTCTACTGGTAAACTTTAACTTGTCAAGTAAATGTAGGTCAAAGTCTGATCCAGGTAGGACTAATAGTTATTTTGGAATGAGACCTGCTCTAAAAACTTCAATCTCCACTCTGGTCATTCTTATGAAAAATGCAAGATGAAAATGCAGCATCTGAAACCTGAATAGCACAAGGAAACAAATTACCTATATCTATCCTCCTCCCTCCCGGTGGAGCACAAGGTCAATGAAATAATCATATCAATTAATTATCTAAATGCACTCAAATGATCATAGACAAAAAAACTGCTTTTAAATGCACTCAAATGATCATAGACAAAAAAAAAACTGCTCAAAAACTTCAATTTGGAATAAAGCTGAGGTTTAAGTTAATTCCTAAATCTTTGTTGAAATGTGTGTGATTTAAAAAAAAATAGTAAGGGTTAACTTGAAAAACCCTTGGTCAGTACTCAGTAATGGGAGAGGAGTAAAATGCAGAAGATTACAGACCTGGATTCAAATCAGTTATGTTCTGAAATTAATCAAAAAATTTTGATTAATTTTTTAAGCTTATCAAAAGTTTTTTTTTAATATCAGTAAATATTTTCTAGGTCCTGATCATATCACAGACAGAATCTGGATTTTTTTTTTTTTTATAATTTTTTAAAAATATTAATATTGCAACAAATTGTGTTCAATGTCACACATTTAAGGTGAGTATAATTATATTCTACTTCAGTGTTTATTTCCTAAAGAGCTTCAAAGTGAATGTTTTGAGTCAGTGTAATGCATGCCATGATGGTATGTATTATTCCTCTTGTTTATATATCAACACATGCATGATCACGTACTTTTTATGACAATATAGGCCTTGGGCTACATTGCAATGTTGTCCATTAATTCAAAATGACATGCACACCACATCATAAATTAACATTTTGAATATCTCTAAATCCCAGAAACTCGTCGGCAGTCAGCTGTTTGTTTAGGCCACACGAACTACATTTCGACCCAGACGACCTTGAAAACTTGCGTACGATTAATAAATAATAGCACGTGGTTAAAAGTGTTTAAAACAAATAAATTTTAGCAAATGTGAAAATCACACCATTTAAAAGGAATTATTATATGCGTAATTCAAATTATGCACGGAACTTGCCATACACACAGGAAAAAGGTTGCATAACGAGTCGAGATACCATTGCATAAACATTCATCAAATCATCAATGAAAATTCTTTAAAACGAGATTAAAAAACTAAAAGTAAACATCGAAACATGATTTAATTTAACAACTTAAAGGATACTTAGGTTATTTCACCAGACATTGAGCAGAAATACAATTTTGTCCCTTTTCCGTCGTCTGCATGAATAGAAACCATCAAACTTTCTAATAAAACATAAAACAAACTCACCTTCAGTATTTACTGTTACTGTCACACACTTAGATTTGGGTGAACCATTCTGCAAAGTTGTATCATGACTTTCTTCACTGTCTTGACTTGAAATACCTGCCATTGAGCGTTGACTTTCACAGGAAAACACGTGCGTTCCGTCTTAGGAGATTGTCCTACATATGCACGTTTCACCTCAAAATTCCAAGTCGGTTAAACGCTTAAAAGAATCTGGTAAAAGTAGATACCGTAAGTCCCCTTTTCATGCCCGAATTTGCTAGAGATATATAATAATGAAAGAATTTTTTTAGAATGCATTAAACCAAATCTAAACTAAAATATATGTTGCAAATATTGATTTCTATGTTGGATGAATTTTTTCTTTGCCAAATGATGGTTAACACCTAAAGATATCATATACAGTGTATAAAAAAAAAAAAATAAGTTATATCTAATGGACTGTGATCCCCGCCTCTTTAAACCGTTAAAAAAAATCAGATAATTTATGCATTTCCATCTTCTAATAAATAATTTCTTTTTAAATCTAATCAGATGATTTTTACTCATTTTTTTCTTTAATTGAAAAAAAAAATAATTTTAAGAAAGATAACTTGTTAATGGATGCGTTTTTATTTTACAAGCCCCCCCACCCCCCGAATCAACTGAGATATATTATACCTGTATGCAGGTGATGAAGGTATCATGATTATACCATAAACCTAAATTGAATCTCTATAGGTAATTTCTGAAAATTAAGTAAGCAACGTTTCATACTTCAAACTATTTTACATTTGAATCTAACGCTATTGCTGTTAATGAAAATCAATGTTGGGCATTTTAAAAAATGGTAAAAGTTATAGCAGAGGAATATTTTACCTTAAATGTACTTTATTTTGGATGGATATATATTTTTTTAGTTTAATGTGCATGGAGACATATTTGAAATAATAATTTCTCAAATTTTCTGTATAATATTACGACTTGCATTTCACAAAACAATATAAATAAAATTCTCATCTCAGTTTTGCTGTATATTAATGAACAATATTAAAACTATAATCCAAAAAATTCAGAGTAGAAATGTTCGAAAGGAAAGCGCGCTCAACATGCTCACAGTATATTGTCGGTATGCAGACTTTAACAGTTTGAAATTAACAATGACAGAGCTCGTGCCCTGTTTACAAAAACAGTTTATGTTTCAAGAGTGTATTCGAATTTCACATTCACAAGAGTTATCTCCCGTTGTCGGCGTAATGCTCATTTTACCCACTTTGTCCTTTTTAAGTTACCTGTTAATATTTTTAATCTTCAAACGTTATCGGACAATTTTGATCTGTACCTGTATTGCCAGAGTATGGGGCAACATGAAAAACATTATGAACATATTCATACAGATTTTATTTCCAAGATACTGACCCATAAAAATGGTAAAACAGTGTCTTACGCCGGTTGACCCCGCAAAGGGGAATAACTTTAGTAAATGTGAAAGTCGTCTTGACACCAAATCGAAGTAAGTACGGCGGCGGCAGATTGTTTGTTTAAGTTTACCACCCCTAGCTAAAAAGCTGATGAAACTTTCTTTTTTCTTTTATCATATGTAAATATTGGTGCTTGTTCTTCAAAACAAAGTATATGTAATCAATAAATATTTCAAAAAAGGGAAAGTATCGTTTATTTAATGAACACGAAAAATAGAGTTGCACACCGAATGTGTTTTCGTACAAGTTATGCAGATCCAAAACATTTTGTAAACAAAGATGGCGGAAGACTTCGCGAATTTACTCGCACAGGGTATAGAAAAACGTGTTTTATATGCTGGAAAAGGCGGACAAACGTCGTATGATAATGGAACAAAGGTAAAGAAAGTATAGATATTTTTTAGAAGTGTTTACTTTTCTCTAAAGTTAAGTTCTCTTGCAGATAAGTAACAGCTGATCCTACAACTAATTATCATACAAACATGGTAAACGTTCTTATCCTTCCAGTATTCTTCTTCCTTTTGATTCCTTTTAATTGGTTTGAAAATATACTATATTATAAATTTATCACATGTTTTTTTTATACTTGAGGTTTTTTTTCACATTATAGAAAGCAAATACAAACTACACAGGTCCAGTACAATCTCTTAATTTAGCTATATAGCTTTAACAGGTTTTACATTTAGCTACGTAGGTAGAATTACCTACATAGCTTTATTTACCTACCTCAGGTAGCTTGATTTAGCTACCAAATGAATTTATTTCTATAAAAAAGCATTTTTCTCAGGATGTGCAAAAACTATCATTTTGTTGCATTGATCGTTTTCAACTTTGAACACATCTGAAAACAATTCATGAAAAAAATCACTCTTGAAGTAATGTCTTTTTCTGCGCAATTGCAATCAAAGTTCTGAAAGTTTTTTGGCTTTGTATGACAGTAAGAACAGTTACTCCTTGAATGAAATGACAAAGAAGTCCATATTATTCAGCACAATGTGAAGTAATCATACTCAGTCATGCCTCACCGCACAGACAGATAACCAAACAATGGAATTATATTTTGACCAAACACAGCGATGTTTAAACTATCTCTGCTTTGGAATGTTTTTTAAAGTCTCCCTAGTATAAATATCAATAGTCATTTAACTGCAATTTTTTCTCTCTTTTCCATAAAAAGAAAAGTTACATTGAAATATAGCTAAATAAAGCTACCTGAGGTAGGTAAATAAAGCTACGTAGGTAATTCTACCTACGTAGCTAAATGTACTGATTGTACTGGACCTGTTTAAGTTTAAATAGCTATATAGCTTTATTAAGCTATTCAGAATACCGGTTGCTTAATTTAGATATTTAACTACATGTGTGCACGTTTTGCAAAAGGTGTAAATTTTCACAAAAGCGCACCTTGGTGCAGTGATGATATACAACCTTGAACTCTTCTTAAAATAATGCATGTAAAATCACTCATCAAATTACGCCTCCTTGAGAGACTGTGTACTCAAAGTTCTACAAGTTTTTGGGGCTATATAAAGCAATTGATACAGTTACTTCTACAATAATATTATACAGGAGACCAATTAAGGTCAGCAAGATAATTGATTGGTAACAGTTCAGCACAATGAGAAGCAATCATACTTATTCATGCCTCAACACATAGCCCATAGTACATATATGAAGAGTCAATTACATGTGACTTTTTGTTTATTTCTAGCAAAATAATTTTTGTGAAAAACTGTATATAAATTATGAAATAGCTAAATAAAGCTATTTTGAATAGCTTAATAAAGCTAAATAGCTTAAGTTAAAGCTATATAGCTAAATCAATAGATTGTACTAGACCTGGTACAATAGCTGTATGAACTAAAGATTTGTTTTATTCAGTGGTGTTAAAAGTATACTTTCCCCTGAATTCACCATAAAAGTTAAGCTGAATGTGACTTGATCCTCAGATAGTGTTGTTTATTTTCTGGTCCTTTTTGTTTAACGTTTGGTTGTGTTGTTTGTTTTTTCTGTTAAAGTCCCTCTAGAATTTTTCACTCATGTGGAGATGCATCACTTGCAAACAATGGCTGCAATTTTATACCCATTCTCAACACTCAGGCCCATTGAGCAGTGCGGCATATTTATTGTACCTAATGCAAACCGAACCTCAGTTTATATGATCTTATCTTGCAGTGGATTCGAACTCACAACGTAAGATCAGATCTTTACTCTGCATCTCTAGAGTAGATGCGCCTTCCACTGTGCCAAGTGGGCAACTCACCCACTCCATATGATTTTTAATGTCTTTAAATATAAAAAAAAATTGAGAAATAGATAATTAGATACAAGATACACTTAACTTACCTGAAACTACAACAGGCTGTAAAGCTGTTGGACAGTTTCTTCATATCCCAAAGTACCACATTGAAAGAAACTAAGAGAAATAAATTTCATTGCAATTTTGCTTTTTATTCATCTTTAATTTAACAAATTTTTATTTCATTTCTATGTCTGTAAAAAGTTAACAAATATGGCTTTGTTTCTTTTTAAGTCAGTGAATCTAACTGTGAATACAATAATAAATTACATATTTTCTTTTTTTACAGCTTTATTTTCATTTCCGGACAGAAATTTGTGATGAAGAGAACACAGTTATTGATGACAGCCATAAGTATAACAAACCAATGGAAATAATTCTTGGGAAGAAATTCAAACTGGAAGTTTGGGAAACTTGTTTACGGACAATGAGATTAAATGAAGTAGCTAGCTTCAAAGTAGAAAAATCAGTAAGTTTTGTATTCATAAATTGCCCATGCAGCCTTATTTTGCTGTAAAACTGTAATCATAAATGTTATTTCTGTACTTTTCATCAATAGTTATTCCATTTTAAAATTCAAGGTCAATGAAATTTGAGAGCATGATATCACAAAAGCATTCTTCAATGTTGTCACTCAGAGGCCACTTTGTAAATGTCCCATTCTCATATGATTCTTGTTCTTCCAATTTTATATTTTTAGCTTAAAAAGCAAAATACTGGTATATTTTACTTTTAGGTGAAAGGTCAAAGTCATATTTGGGTCCTGCTACATTGTTTAATGCTTTAACTCAGATTAATAAGTTTGAAAAAATAAATCATTTTCCAGATTTATATATTTTCCACAATACATTTGCCCTTCAGATTAACATAGTATAACACAGCCAAATGACTTATTTCATAAACATGAGTAAAAAGATTGCTAAAAAAAGTCATTAAAGAAGTACTTAATTAAAACAAAAGAGTCAAGGGAGGCATAATTATTAGAGCTGATTAATGTTGACATCTTCTATTTTTACTTTCAGCATACCTCTGTATACCCAGTTGTATCTAAGACATTACGGGAGTATTACGGTGAGAAGAAAGCTCACAATCACAATGATAGCGGCCATTGTTGTGGAATGATGATGGCTGAACATGGAGTGGGGTTTGATGACCTTAATGAACTCATGAAGAACCCCAAACAGCTCAGGTTTATATTAGGTTCGTCTGTCTGTCACTCATTTAAAGAGACACATAAATTTTACAAAATATTCTTTTAAATCAATAGGCTTATGAGCATATTCTTTTACTCTATTTAGTTTGTTTTATTTCTAGAACTGGTAAAAGTAGAAAGACCAGAGGAATATGAAAAGGATTCCTGGACATTAACAGATGAAGAAAAGCTTCAGAAAATCCCACTCCTGAAGGAACAAGGCAACAAGTTCTTTTCAGAGAAAAAATACTCAGAAGCAGCAGAGAAATATTTTGAGGCTTTGAGTTTTCTGGAACAACTGGTGCTCAAGTAAGGAGGCATTTCTAAGCTTCACATTAAAGCAAGCTATCCAACTCAGGAAACATTTCTTGTTATCTGGTTAGAGTAGAAGACAATTAAGGAAACATTCTGGTTATAGAAAGATGCTCCAGTATGAAGACATTTCTAAACTTCATTTTTAGCAAGTCTAGTTAGAATAAGAATATATTTATCATGTTTATATTTACATTCACTGAATATTTTCTCCATTATTTCTTAAGAAAACCATTGCCATTTTTCAGTTCATGAACAACTCTAGGCATTTCATCTATACAGATTTATTGATCAGTGGCTGTTCCATCAATGAAACTTATTATGATGTACATATCAATTATACAATAATTAATCTTTTTAGTCTTACTTTAAATGATTATATACAGATATAAATATTAACAATAAATGTCTTTCTTTGGTTGTTAGTACATTCAGAATTAATGTCGCAGCTATTAAGCAGGTTATTATTTTTTCAAACTGATTTAAATCATATCCTTTGATCCGCATTGTAGATGGCTTATTTTTCGTGAGTATTATCGCAAGATTGCTCTTTACTGTCAAATTGCGAGAATAATAATTTACAAGTGGACGGTTGATCAAGAGAATTTACATGGATTTCAGCACCATAAAAATAAAAGCGAGTAATTTAATTTTGCGAGTGATGCTTCTCGCGATATTACGTGATGCTTAATTCCTCGCGTAAAATTAGCAATCTACAGTAGATCGCTACATAAGGATTTGAAGAAAGCTCATTCAGGGTCATCTCCTGGTGACCTTTCATTTAATATCCAATCAAGTGTTTACTTCCAAGAAGTCAGAATATTTCGGAGTTTGTTTACAAAAGTGAAAGCCCGAGTGTGATCTGGTTTCCATAGCCTGCCAAGAGAAGTCCAGAGTCTTTTTCTGTAAAGAAATATAATAAACACTTAATTTTGCTTTGTTTTTTTTGTTTTTTTGCTCTTTGTTTTGTACAAAAAGATAAAATTTTCTCCATAGCTACTTTCACTTCAATCTACAATCATTTTCCTGAATGTTGCTTAAGTACCATCTTTCTAATTGGTCAAAATTTTAGTGAATATTTTAATAAGAAAGGTCATCAGGAGATGACTTTGAATGGAGTTTCTTCAGATCCTTGTGTAGCGATCTATGTGAGCGGATCAAAGGATCTGATTTTAATCAGACTGGTATTTTGTCAGCATTAATTTTCGTACTTAAATTCAAAGAAAGCATTTTATTGTTTAAAAAAAATTTTTACTTAGAATGAAGGGATACAGACATGTTTTGACCTTCAATCACCACTTTGTATTGAATGAACAAAGATAACCAAATAAAACAATATTTGGTCAATGCCCTAGTAAAGCCTTATCCATGTATTCTGATGCTCTAAAAGCAATATAATTCCATTTGCAAATATTTTCTTTTATTTAACACTTTTTCTGCAATGCCTATCTATATTATCTGTTTAAACACAGGATCCTCATTTTATGTAATTTTTTAGTGACATAAAAAAAAGGGTTGATAGTCATGGATCAAAATTGTGCGGCTGCCATTGAGTTTTGAAAAAATGACACATTTCATGTGTAACTGTTAAAGATTATCCACCAGCAAATATATATTATAAAGATGTCACAAATGTAAATATTAGGTATCATTTTAAACATCTATTGAGATATAAATACAGCCCTTTAAGCTGTATGGAATTTGATCATGTGACCAACCTGATAGATATTTAAAAATGATACCTTTTTTCTCAAGTGACGTAGTATATATTGCAATGTTTATGTCATGGCGTCATATGTAACAACTGCATCACAAAGTGGAGCATACCCTCGCAAAGAGCATACCTATAAATTGAGGCAGCATTCAATATTGATCCTGATGAAATTATGACACTTCCGTTTTACACAGGATTAACTTACCCACAAACAAACACACACGCACACTATTGCATTACTGCATCCCCCCCAACTCCATTGCAAGTGGATAAATATATGTTGCAGGATAAACAAAATACTAGTACATGATATACCATATAGCAGGTTTCTTTAGCGGATGTAAAATTTGGCGTTTTGCTTGCTCAAAGGTATGCCAATAATTTTTGCGGAACATTTTTTGGTGGACACAAAGTACCGATACATTGCAAAAGAGGGGAAAATCATCTTTTTAATAAGTTTCTGAATCAATATGTTTAATATACCTTTGAATACCAATTTATACAAAAGTTGAATAAATGCAATACTAGGTGGAAGTAAAATTGCTTATAAAACAGACTTATCAGAGGGTATTTCTTGTATTCAGTAGGCATAATGAAGGGTGAAAATTTGGAGATTAATTTTTAGCGGCTAACCATAAAAACGCTAAAACAAGCCAAAATTAGCACATTGCTAAAAATAACGGCGATACGGTATGTCTTGAAATATAAGCAATATATTTCAAGACAGTAACCATATATTTTATATTTATTCCGAAAGTAATGGAAGATAATGGAAGATAAGCTGTGTTTGAATAATCTTCTTTTTGCCTACGTTTGATTTTGTAACATTTCATTTTGCATAGAACAAATTTGCAAACAAATTTGTGACAAAGAATCTTCTAGCTCTGATATAGTCACAGTTTCAGCCATTTTCATATGAGGCAAACTACATTTTCAGATCCTCAAGAAATACCCCACTCTAGTAAAGAGAATTCTGAATGAACCAATTACAACTGGTTCTTACAAGAAATTTAAGAATAGTTATATTATAGCAATAAATGATGTTTATAAGATCATAAAGATAATTATTAGGTACTATATCAGACAGAATCAATTGATTCCTGTATACAGCGTGGAGGGAAGAAAGATTTTAATTACCGGTGTTATACAGGTAGTGTCCTTGAAAAATAGGAATAAGAAATCAATGTCTACATTGGTTTTTTTATTATCTGTACATGGTTTGGATTTTTTGTTTTTAGGGAGAAGCCTGGGGAACCAGAGTGGAACTCTTTAGAAGGCATGAAGATCCCTTTCCTATTAAATTACGCCCAGTGTAAATTATTCCTAAAAGACTTTTACCCTGTGATAGAACACACATCCACTGTACTGAAACGAGAACCAGGTATTATTCAGCTTCATCCGATATACTACATCGATAGCTTATATACATGTCAGTTTTATTTTCCATTCTGACTGTTTTACAGTAACTGTTATTAATTGTAATTGATTAATTGTGAGAATTCATCCATCTACATGTAATTGCTTGAAAAGATTCAAATTTCAAAAATTAAATGATATCATCTGTCATATCATGATTTTAACCTTTCCAGAATCTTTTTTTTAACCTTACTTTTCAAAATTAGTTTTAGTTTAATCTTATGGGGCATTATGACCTAAAGAAGCATATTCCTAGTGAATCTTCTCTTGCTTTTATATTTCCTTTCACATAAGATAGAACTGATTTACCATTATTAGCTACGGGATTTTATTTTCTTTCAGAAAATGTCAAGGCTTTGTTTCGTAGAGCTAAGGCACATGTTGGAGCATGGAATCCCCAGGAGGCCAGAGACGACTTCAACAAGGTCATGACCCTTGATCCTTCCCTATCTACGGCAGTCCAAAAAGAAATAAAAAACTTAGAGGAATTACAAAAGAAAAAAGACAGTGAAGATAGAAATAAACTGAAGGGACTTTTTAATTCCTGAAGTTAATAGTTATTAGATGTTTTATTTTTTTAAAATTCTTTATGAATAATTAATTTTTTTCCTTGTTTAGGTGCTTTTGTGAACAGTTTTATTTTTTAATGAACTCTTTATTTTATTTGCCAATTCAGCATTATGGTAACAACCTTTATCATTAAGTGAACCATATTTTGAATTTCATAAGCATCTTGAGAAAGGAAACCATTTCAGAATTTTACTCTGTTATTTACAGTTTTAAATTCTGAACTGTTGCTCATTATCATAAAAAATCATACTCAGAAGCTGAAAGCCGTAGGTCTAAGTCATTCCTCTGGATTAGAGAGCATTCTGGTTAGTGATATCCGTAGTTTGGTGAGTAAAACTGTATAGGTACCATCCCCTGTCAGGAAAACTGAACGTCCATGAAATGTCCCTGTAGTCATTAGTCTCTAGTCACCAATGAGAATTTGTTAAACCTGGCAGGCTTCTGTTATGTAATGTAGGACAGATTTGTCATCACTACTGGAACACATGTAAAGGATCAGATGCATTTGTTTTATGAATATTTTTGGAGAATGGTTATGAAGTAAATTTATACTAGGGAGTGTTGATGTTTATCTATAATTGATGTATTTTCATGATTCTTTGGCCTTTGTTTTTTGAAAATGATAATTTTTTTCAAAATGGTACTGTTTCAAAAGTCACATATATTTTTGCTCTGTCATGCTTGAAAATTATTTTGCCCAGGCCGGAATTAAAAATATCTTTGTTTCCCCTAACCCGACCCTAAATTCTCAAGTTGGGTCGGTAGGTAGGTAAACAATTTTATTTTCTGACAGCACCTTTGGAAATACCTTTATAAATAAGTACAAAGGAAATCGATGTGTGAACAAAATGCCAAGTATCGTACATATGCCGTTTAAAAGCAAAATTCATGATTATTAATTCTCAACTGTTATTTAATTAAACTTGTGAAATATCTCACTCCATTACATCGATTTCAATTGACTAAAATAGACAAGATTCTCAAATACACAAAGACCAGACAAACGAGTATATTTTTTCAAACCTTCCATCAGCCTTCATAGCCTATAGACGATCAATGTACTTTTTTGAGGGCTATGAGATTTGCAGTGATTCTGGAGCATTTTGCTTTGGAGTTAAGAAGTAAGTGGCTAAATTTAAATCGGAGGTTCAGATCCCAATGAGTAACGTTGAAAACAGTCTTTCAAAGGGGACCAAAAAACTTGTGTCCAGTGTCGCAGAAGATGCTGGATAAAAAAAGATCCCCCACTACTTTATGGCAAAAAGGTGCTGAGTACGACTAAATTTGGAGCAATGGGGAGATGTTTAAGTGTCGTCCTAACAAATCTCGAAAGGGATTAAAAGCAAAGAAACAACCAATCTTCAAGGGCCTAATCAAAGAAAAATACACTGAACGTCTCAGGAAGCTAAACCATGATTTCAAAACTATTTGGAAAGACTGTTAACAATATTTAAATGAACCAAACCTAATCTACAAATGATAAAAATGCAATATACAATGTCATACTGTGGTTTCATCAATATTCGTTGAGCACCAATTTTCGTGGATTTCGTTGTTGAGCAGATCCACGAATTCAAATGTTCATTGAATTACGAAATGTGACATTCATATGTATAGGCAATGCTTTTGTCACCGAAATTACGTATCCCCGAAACTGTCTATTTTATAAAATCCACGAAAATTGATGCCAACGAAAATTGATGAAACAACAATATTCGTGAATTTAACCACTAAATAAAGGTATAAATAAAGTGCATCTGAATTATATTTATCAGGATGAATATGCAGACATATTTACAACAACTCTTATAGTTCCATAATGGCATATAGTAAACAAAGGAACATAGATGAATTGGTTATTAGATCAATACTCAAATTAAATAAAATGCAGTGAAATTGAATGATATGTTCATTAGGTGGGCCCCTCATCTACTGATGAGGCGGGCCTTACCATGTATCACGCGCATGTACCTTAAATTCCCTTTCGAAAATTTATTCACTCACATGGAGATGCCAAGACACCTCCGAAGCACTCTTAATTAGTCATGATAAATTTTATTAACGAATTGTTTCAAGAGTGAAGAATTCCAATTAGCTAAACCATAAGATTGAGATGTTGCCATTGTTTTATGAAGAGCTTATGCCCTGTAATCACATCAGGACGCCATTTTGTTTCCAACAAATGCTTAATATCACAGTAGAATAATGTCGGCCGTTCTGATAAAAAACGGATTTTGATGAAATTGTATTTTATAAAACTTGGTTAACAATAAAAAAAATATTTGAATCATCTTATTTACAAAATCTTTTCAGTCGGTGCGATTTAACTGGGTCGGTCGTGTTAGGGGAAACAAAGGTATTTTTTATTTTGGCCCCAGTTTAAAATTTTTATAAACACAGTAATGCTAATACAATACATGTACTACTGTTTTCTAAGGATTTGCCTTTTTTTAATTAGCTCTCTTGCACAGAGGGCAAACATAAAAATTGGGACAAACATTTCTCTGGAAACAGTATTTCCAAGATGATTTTTTTCAATTTGATTGTTTTTCTTGTTGTGTAGTTTTCATTTGGATTCAGATCTGGGTTGTAATTGGGCATTAAACATGTGATAAATGCTCCATTTTTCTTTAATATACTGTATGTCTGATTTTCATTAACCATTGCATTGTCGTATTCCATCATTGAAACCAAAGAAATTGTATTAAAATGTAGCTTTCCTTGTAAATTGTGTTCAAGTGTTACTTAAAGGATAGAAAGTGATTTTGCACATTATCTGTTTATGTTGTTGTCTTTTTCACAAATTCAATGATTTTTTTTAATAAAGTTTATAATTTTTTTGGAAGTGAACATTAATAAGTATTTTTTAATCAATAAAGTGGACATGTATTTATAAATATTTTATGAATTAGTAAAAGATGATGGTAAATTTCCTATCATCCTGTTACCAGAATCAAGAATATGACATATTTGTTATGTAAGAAATAGACATATTTGTTATATATAAACATTAATTTTTATGAAATTTATAAAAGGCTTGGGTAAATAATCTCGTTTAAAGTAATCATTTTGTAAGTTCTATGGTCGATACAATGACCTAGTCAGCAAATACAATCTATCTTGAAGTCAAATGATGACTGACGTTTTTCACACTAATTGTTAGTCCATTATTTATACACTTAATTGACGACAGATTTTGTCATTAATTCCTGATCATGACAAGGAGCACAGGGCGGGTGTGATCGGTCAGCATGGGATGCTCACTCCTCCATGACACCTAATCCCGCCTCTAATGTTTTGGGGGTCCATGTTTGCCCCACTCTATTTTGTAATGTTAATGGACCTTTGAGCTCGAATAATGTTCATTGTTGCCAACATATTTCATTGATATTTTATTCAAAAGATATAGGAAATCTGTTCTTTTATGTTTGTTTCAGCCTGTTTGTTTAAGTGGTGTAGAAGCTGTACAGTATTGTTGTTACAATTGTTATTTAAATTGAATAAAAAAGTTTGTGTTAAACAAGCAAATATTTGAATAAATATTCAAAGAAGCATTGTCTTAAGATGTTAAGATCCAGACTCTTGTTTTGTAGAGCTGCAGATTTGTCAGAATCTGGAATATGAATGTTTACAGACATCCATTTTTCTTTTCAATCAAACCCTAAAACCAATAGTGTTTGTGAAACACTGATGCTCCCATAAGGAGTGTTTGGCAAAGGCTTAAGTTTCTCAAACGCAATCCAAGCTTTAAGGTCAAGATATTAAAAATGCTGTTACCCAAGGAAAGGAATTATCTCAAAGAATATTCCTGTGAAACATGAAAGCCCATTAGCACTAACCATTCAAAAGTTATGTCCAAGGTTAAAGTTTTTAAAATGTTTGTCAAACTCCAAGGTCAAAGGGTCAAATTAAAGGTACCCAGGGGAGGACCTTGTCATAAAAAAACCCACACTCACACAATGTGAAGTATCAAAGCTTAAGCATCAATTTTTCAAAAGTTATTGCCAAGGGTAAAGGTTAAAAAAAGAAATTTAGGTCAAACTCCAAAGTCAATGTCAAATGGTCGAAATTGTTGGTATCCATAGGAAGGCCTTGTCACAAGGAATAGACGTGTGAAATATGAAGATCCTATTTAGTGCTAACTGTTCAATATATATTGCCAATATTAAAGTTTTGCAAATAGTGGGTTCAACTCAACATGCCATAGTTTTTGATTTATTGGGGAGAGTGGTTTTACGAAGTGTTGAAAAGTCGTCCGTTTTGATGTCAATGAGCTGGGAGGTCAACATTACCGCTGTATACACTGTATATAAATGTACCACATTTCTTCGAAATTTCGGACATTGCCGCTGTACATTTTATCAACAAGACTGTAGCCGATTACAACTTATTATCGCTATACACTGTATATAGAATCAACCAGCAATGACAGGAATATAAAGTCTATTCATTATTAGAGATTCCCAGAAAGTAGTTCGTCATTCAAGAAAACGGCCTTCAAAGCTCTACCAATATATTTAGTGCAATTCTCAGTTAACCTCAGACTTTCAGTAAGGCGTGGCATTTTCGGCGCTACGTAATTAGCTTCTGTCAAATGGCGAACAGATTCTCATTGGTTAAGAAATTGATAACATCAGCAACTATAAATTGTTGTTGACAACGATGAGACGACTTAAGCCCCACCTCTTTGTACGAGACCTTGTTATTGGCTTTTTGCTACACTTGTTGACATTCGCCCAAATTTCTCTCCTATGTATATTTCAACAGTGAATGAAAGCTGTGTAAATTTCAGAAGCTAATTATGTAACGTAGAGAATGTCACGCCTTACTGAAAGTCCAAGGTTAACTAAGAATTGTACTTAACACTGTTTGTTTTATCCATGAACAATTTTAAAAAATTCTAAAATGTATTGAATAAAGTTTTATGCATATATATGTTGTACTTTTAATCAATCTATGCTTGTATAAGCCACTTGCAAATGAAATAGGCAGTGTAGTGGTAATGTAAAATTTTAAATGTAGCGGTAATGTAACCATTTTGGTAGCGGTAATGTCAAATTTGGAAATATAGCGATAATGATTTGAGGTCAACATTACCGCTACATCGCCAAAAATTTCAACTCATTACCGCTACCTTTTTAAAAAATTTCGACCGATCATTACCGCTACATTTTTTTGGCCAAAAACAACTCATTACCGCTACACATTGAACCAGCCGAAAACAACTCGTTACCGCTACATATTGAAATAGTCAGGTATGGCACGGAATATTAGTACCAATCAACACAATTCACTCAATATGTAGTAAAGTACAATTTCAATTTCTAAACAGGAGAATGAAAAGGATATGGAGATAACGAATAGTATTCAATATCAAAGTCCATAAAACAATACGAAATAGGAGCAGAGCAAACACGGACCTCCGAAACATCAGAGGTGGGATCAGATGCCATGGATGAGTGAGCATCCCTTGCTGACCGGTCACACCCGCCGTCTGCTCCTTGTCATGATCGGGAAATAATGGAAAAAATCCGTCGACAATTCAGTG